ATATATATATATATATATATATATATAATAATAAATAAAAATCTTAAAAGATAAAGATCTTAAAATAGTCTTAAACAAGACGCCTTTAAGACGTCTTAAAACAACGTCTTAAAGACATCTTAAAATTATGTCTTTAAGACGTCTTAAATTAAGACGTAAGACTCTCTCTGGCAACTTTTAAGACGTCTGAAAATTTTTAAAAGGTTTTTAGACATCTTTAAAACGTCATGTTGTTGTGTGGAATGTAATATTAAAGAATTTTATCTTAGATTCTCTCTTTACAGCTATATTTAAAGACAATATTACAGATTAAATGTAATATAATATTGTATTTTTATTTATAGAGGAAAACCATGTCATTTGTAGAAAAGCAATATATAACTGGTGACATTTTATATAACATAATGGAAACAAAAGATGTTCACGAAAGAATAGAAGACGGTAAATTTAATCATATCCAAAGAAATAGAGATATACATAAAAACTAATTTTTATTACAGATCCTGATTTCGCAGCAATGCGAAAATACTCTTTCTTAATTTTTAAATATATTTTCCATGTATTTATCTTAAATGTTTCACTTAAAATACATTTTATGTTAAACTTATATACAAAATAAGTGTTTTATTTCTTTATCGATATACGTATTGTAATAATTCTTCAAAATAATTTAATACTGTGTCACTTACATATATTCTCTATATTTGCTGAATTTGATTGGCATTGGCCATATCATATTTGATTTTTATGTCTCTACCAATAACAAGACGGATTGGTTTCAAAACTTACAAAAAAAAAAAAAAACCAAACAACTTTGCTGACCACCAGTGTACCTAGTAAACTGAATATATATCCAGTACACAAAAAGCGCTCGCTAAGCGCCCAGAAAGCGCACCCAATGAGTGCATCCAGTACTACAACCGCTTATTGAGCGCTCAGTGAGCTCTTGCATCCGATTGGCATATTCCTTTAGATCTAAAAATATACACCAATCAGTACTGGATGCATCCAATGAGGTGCGTATGCAAAATGCGTCTTCCGTGCCGCGTTGAGAGTCGACCAGAAAGTTCGATAATCGGCGGAATTTAGAAGTTTTAGCCGCGCGCGCGCGCGTGCATAGCCAAGGACTCCAGTAGATATCGCCGGCAGTTCTAATCATTCTGAAAAATTATGCCAATCCGGTTATGCCAATTACGACATATCACATTTAACGAGAACGCTGACAACGTGTTTCTGCATGTCATACGTCACGCGAAAGGTGTCGTTTCTGCGCGAATGCATCGGAACTGTCACGATGTTGCGACGTAATGTAAAAAATCTCTCTCTCTCCCTCTCTCTTTCCCCTCTTTTCGCCGTGAGCCTTTTGTCTTCGTGCGAAGAGAGGAAATCAGGGCATACTGTGTACATTAGGCAGGTACAGCTCGCTCGATAAAACGAAAGACACGGGAACGGTCTTATTTACCTTTTGTACCGTCGCGACGCGAAGAAGCGAGCGATTTATACGTGTCTTCGGCGAGCTCTTTGCTGATAAGAAGCCTGACGATAACGCCCCGTCCGGATCCTGAAATAATTCTTCTGCTTTCGCGAGCCGTCCGCTCGACAGAGGATATGCACGTATTAGTAACCTTATTTCATTCCCGACCGTGCGGTCCGCCGACGAAATGTATTAATAGAAGTACTGACTCACGAATAAAACGCCTAGGTAAATCAGTAATCACGAAATACGCCGTCGTCTTTCAATATATCGCGTACTCAATCGTACATATAAGTGTAGGTGGGCGGAGATATTTTCGACTAATCGTACACGTCGAAAAATCGACAACACTGATACACGAACACACATCGGGCCGCATGAATTATTCGCAGAGTTCTCCGGAGTTGTCCGGCTTCGATCTGGATTTTATTGTAATTCCGCATGTTCAGAAATATCCTCCCCTCCCTGTCTCCTTATCGAACAAGGGATGGAAAAGCGAGACGAGCGTTATTGCCATTTCTACATGGCTCGATATGACAATCGAATATCGATATCTGACGTTTACCCGTTTCTTTGCACGAACTGGGCTGCTTTTCAAACAAAGATCTGTATGACTACCTTGTCCCGGAAAATCTATCTCGGATTGCAAGAGCCGAACACTCAAAACAATATCTCGCCCTTAGCGGAATCCTTTTGTATACATGACCACAAGAAGATTCTTCTAAAGCCAGAAGAAAAATATTCTAAGCGCATACGAAATATTCCATGCTTAAAGTTAGAGAAATTTCGTCTTTTATCTACAGTACAAATCTTGTTTTTAATAGAAATTTTATCCAGTATAAGAACATACATTCCGCTTCAATTTCTTCTTGATCCAAGAGGAGAAGTTAGAATAATTATTATATCGTTTTAATTTTCCTGGAACATGTAAATTTTTATCTATCCACTTTTATCTGTTTATCTATGCACGTACATTGTATACACACACGCGCACATTCACACAGGTATCGTATCGGAATCGCGCGCTTTACACCGCATATTGCCACGTCCGAATCTCGTTTCAGGGACGCGAGATGCATTCGTTCGTTATTCTCAATTAACCCACGTACGCTATCGCGTATCGTCTGCTTGTTACTTTCAACACATCCTGCAATTTTTATAGCTTTAGGAATGCCATCCATTAGACGCTACAAATGCTTTTTGAAGCGTCGTACAGACTAGTTATGACATTTCTTTAAGCGCTTCAGAGTGTTTATAGCATCTAATGGATCGCATCCTAGACGCAGAAAAACATTCCGTTGCTAAGAAAGACAATAACTTGGTTCACCTTTTTAAGTGATAGTTATCTTCAACGAAGAATATTTTCTTGAAAACAGTCTCATTTCTTGAAATATACTCATCACAAATTTGAAGAAAAGCTTATCGTATCATGATATGTACTCAAATATGCGCACGTATGTACTCAGAAGAAAAATTTGTTCTCTTTCACTGAGAGAAAAATATAGTTACTTTTGGCGTCAACTATACTTTTTTGTGATTTTAACCAGAAAAGTAATTAGAAGAACCATCTTTCTAATAACACTTACTAAAACAATGGTTTTCCTAACTATTTTTATGGTTAAAATCACAAAAGAATATAGTTGACGCCGAAAGCAACTATATTTTTCTCTCAGTGTTATAAAAGTTTTATGAAATTTTGTTGAAGAAGAAGACGGTTCGACTTTATGAAATAGGCAAGCCGAATTTTTGCTTTAATCTTCCGCGTACAATCATATTTTTTAGAATATATAGTACAGTCTGGGTATAGTCTGTCAGATCCGCGAAACTTTGAACTACCGCAACTTTACCGAGAGTCAATATTTTTGGACATATTTCTTTTATTCTTTTTTTATTTCTGAAATAGAAAAGCTTTACCTATGAAACAGTTACGTAATAAAATCAAAACCTACAAAGATTTGCGCTATTTTGAAATTCCTTCAGAATATTCGGTGGGCGATCGAATATTCATTCGGCTCTCACAGACCCAACATTGTACGCGGAAGGTTAATCTAATATTCTCGATTGAAACGTTAAAATCGCTGGGATTTAGTATGTGTTTCGAATATCGAATAAATTACACAGGCCGACATTAAACGTGTAATATGGATGAGATGTAATATGATTTCCCGCAGATTTTTGGCCGCTGAATTCGAATCCCGAGGCGAAATTTTCCTGTTACGTCAGATTTTTCAGAAAATTAAAATCAAAAGTGCGTTTTTGGTCATTTTTGAGACCTGACGTGTTAAAGACTTTTGATAAGGATTCAATTAAAACTTGAATTTTTTGCTTTGAGATGATCATAATTGAAATAATGTTGCATCCGCCTATCTCGAACGATAATAGATTTTCGCTGCACGCGCGCGCGCTCGCCACTCCTCACCGTACGCTGCCCGGAGGATTCTGGAATTATTCAAACGAGCCTCCAGACTATAGTCTTTATTCGATATTAATATTTTTGCTCTAAATTGAAGTGAATTAAATTTCTAAGAGCGAAGCCTGATTTTAATTTATTTCTTTTATTTATAAATCTTTACTTATATTATATCTTTCCTTTTTCCGCTTCTTACCAGACCTTTTCAGATTCTTATTCATGGCGGTCGCGTTTTTATTTGTATTGCGATTTAATATCGCGCGGGTCTTATCTTTACGATTCGCGTTTTGGTCGCCAAAAACGAAAACCTCACGGATCCTACGTAAGAATCGACCGGGAGAGTTAAACCGGCCGCGCGGCCTGAAAACGTGCTCTCGGCTATCTCGCGCTGAATTACCGCAATCTGCTAATAGATTTTGCCACGTGACTCGTGAACCGTGCGCAGCACGCACACGTGTGCCACGACAAAAGTGTCTTTCTCTCTCTCTCTCTCTCTCTCTCTCTCTCTCTCTCTCTCTCTCTTCGTATGACAATCATGTCGCCAATGGTGGGGCATTACGAACGCGTTGCAGTAGAGAGAGGAGGTGGTGCAAGTAGGAGGAAACCGGAGGAACATTTTCAGTGTCGAGCTAGCCGCGATTGCGTTCCGTTTCGTCGTCCCCGTCATCGCTGTCATTGTTGTCATTGCCGTGTCGTGGTGGTTGTCGAGTTCGTCGCGTGTCTCGTGATGGGATCTCAACGTCCGTGCACGTTCCGCACGAGAATGCGCATTTCGGTCGTGCCGTCCGATTTCGCGAGGCTTCCCGTGGGACCATAAGACCCAGCGCTAACGGAGAGGAGTTCCTCGTAGAGGCTGACTTCGAGAGAGTGGATCTCAGTCGTGCGAGTAATTAGAACGGCTGTGACCGCGAGCCGGCGTGAAAAATTGATACGACGATGAATGCCTTAATTTGTCTTCTTACGTGGAAACCCGCGCGATAAATGTCGCTGCTTGTTTTTGGAAGCTGCGCTTAACGCGCTATCGAACTTATAATTTAATTTATTGTTTATAACTTAACGTTTATCGAACTCCACTATATCCGCATCGGTGTATTCGGTCTTCCAAGAGGTACGCACAGATAAGTACACCGACAGAAAAAAATATGTGAAAAATAAGAAATACTCACTCCATCAGTATTAATGACATGTTTATTCGTACTGATATGCGTACACTAAAAAAAACAGATATTTGAATTTCATTAGAACAATGGGAAGAAACATAGAATGTAAAAAACAGAAGAAACGGAAAATAGAAAATGAACAGAAATAAGCTTTACCTTACCTAGACTAACTTTATACCTCACAAATGAATTTTCAAGTATTTTTTTGCAATATATTTTTACACTAAAAATAAATGTATTTCAAATGTATTTCAAATGAGAAAGTATATATTTCCTTAAAACACGCTGTTGCTTGTTATAAAAGCAACTGTTTATACTATTCAAACAAAAGAATTTAAATTTAAGTAAATATATGCCGTCAATGCTCACCGAATAAATATTTATTTTTTGAATATTTTTTCTCTCCGTGCGTGGAAGATTTCATTGGGCGATCATTTTGCATTCGACGGGTTAGAGATCTGAATGAGAGAATCAGTATTTCGCTACTTTTCGACTTCCATATTCGAGTGGATCGTTCTACAATGCATCGCGTTGCGACACACAATACGCGAGTAGTATTTCGAGCATGTCGCGGTAGCAACGTTAGAGACAAGTGAATGAGAAAGGTAGGGAGAGGGGGGAGGGGGCAAAGAGAGAGAGAGAGAGATATGCTCGATGTTTGGACTATTACCTCTAATTGCGTATGTGCGCTATTAGTTTCCACAGTATACCGTGCAAATAAACCTGCGTAACACAACACGCGCACATACCGTCGGCTTTATACGATAATGTTAATCAAGCGTGGGAAAGTGAGGTTTCGCCTTGCACGCGTATTTCGCGCACCGCGCAGAAAAATAAAAGCGTAGAGCTCAACTTACGCCGTCCGTCAGTCCATAGGATAGGCCTCGCGTGGCGAAATGCAAAGAGTCGCTATTAAAACCGCTGATAAACACGCGATAAATACTCCGCGCTTCAGCAGAGCGTGTACGCACTCGCGGGACTCGCCAGGAAAGGCAGACAGATGAGACCAGTTTCCTAACTCGTTGTAATATAAAGAGGTAGCGACTCGAATGACTTTCGTGCTGTCGATGAGTCGACTAAAAATTTCAGTTCCGGTGTCAATTTGAGCTTGATTCGTTTCGGCCTGACACCAATTGGGTCTGAGGTGAATGAGGTTCAATTTTCAATTTGTAAAGAGCGCGGGAAGGAGGGAGGTGGATAGGCTCGCGGGGAGGGGAGGGCAGGGAGGTAAAATTTAATTGATCGGGTTTAGCGCGCGACGTCGACGCGCAATATAAAAGTTCTATCAATCCGGCGATATCACGGCGTTTCCATTGGGACACGCGAACAATTGCTCGTATGCCGTTTGCATTGACCGCGTGCACCTTCAATGGCGTGGAGTGCGCAAACGACGCATAATAATCACGCCGCACCGTGATCGGGATTCGAACGAGGGATTTGCCGATTATCAGGTTCGTTATTATTAGTAGCACGCGAGAACAGCGGGTCCCTGTAACCTTAATAACGGGACCCTTTGTACGGAGAACAACGCGGGGCTATTAGATTGGCGCGAAAATGGATAGTGCGAATGTTTGTTTGTGCACAGAGAGCGCGAGAATGTTGTCGTACGAATATTTTCATCGCGAGATATTTTTCACGCTTATCTGTCAAACGATACTTTTTATTCTTTACTAGAATTGCGTAATTGTAAAGTGCAAAATGCATCTCGTCAAATATTCGCCCTATTTTCACGAGCTCACGTACACCGCGATAAATTCGTTAACATTTCCTGTATTGTTTTTTCTTGTTATTCTGTATATATTAAACCGATTCTACAATTGCGTAAGTGTGGTCGTGAATGGTTACGGCAACCAATCAGAATAAAGCAATTAGTGAATAAAACACTCTGATTCGTTGACTCTTACGTTCACGACCACGCTCACACAATTATAGAATTGCTTCTATATTTTTAACCTGAAGCATATCGAAGACTCTTTTATACACGGAGAGAGAATAGTTTTTTTTTTTCTTTTGAATGCATATTTTTTAATTTTATTTTTTCATGTTTCATACTAAAATAGTTCTAAGTTCACGCATCAAGCATCCACACACGCCATCTAACCAAGTCCAATAAAGGGATAGTCAATTATAACAAAATGCCGATCTATTCCTCGGTTACAAAATTCTATAGTATATACTTTACTATGAAATTTTCTCTCCGTCTATACGTGTATGTTCAATAAGGAAAAAAAGTATCAAAATAAGTATAAAAATAAGAAAAAAAATATATCAATTAAACTGCGAATTTAATGTTATTATAATATTTACGATTTATTGCAGCGATATTTTTGCAATTTTTTAATTACTGGTTCTAGATCAGTACCGTAAGATGGGGTTACTTTGTGACACAGTGAATATTGGTCAAGAGTGATAATTATCACTGGGTCACAAAGTAACCTCTACTGTCACAAAGTAACCCCATCTTACGGTAATCTTATCGAGAATATCTGATAACACGGTTAACAAAGTGGTCAAACATGACATTTTTACGTGAATGAGAGATGGGAACAAAAACGACGGGAAGAATTCCTCGCTGAGTCACTCGTTCATTGTATTCTAATTAATCATTCACATGATTGCCTCGTCCATGCGGAATGATCGGCCCCAATTCAGATGAGTGCGTCAACGAACTTAACGAGATTAACAGCGAAATCTTAAAACGAGCTATACAACCGTTGCGCCGAGAAAAAAAGATAATTTATCTCACTAAAATTGTAGTTATTCTCAGCGTGAACTATATCCTATCGTAACGAAAAAATAGCGATATGAACGTAAGTTTATCACTGACACTAAAATTAAAACTCATTCTCTGGACGAATGGTTCTTCTGATTATAATTTTTTCACTATGCAATATAGTTACAAATACTAAACACTTTTTTCTTCGCGTACAATTATTAATCGATGAGATCTTGACGAGAATATAATCTCGAGCAGCTAATCAATTATGAGACTCTTGCCCGATAACTTTGTATACATACACGATATTTACAGAAAGATCGATAAAATTGAATGAAATATTGTGCATTACATTTCTAAGTATCTAAACCTACATATGAAATCTTAGCAATAAGCAATGAGCAATTAGAAATATTAGCAATTTTACGTAAACGTAATATTGTGTACTATTACGTCCGAGACAAGCGTTTAAACTTAAACGCGGAATACGACAAATAGCGCGATAGCGTGTTATCACTTTATGAGTCATTTCTCATGAAACTGTAATTTTTACCATCATGTGAACGACTGAACTTTAAAACTTTACTGTTCTTCTCATTCTCAGTAGTAAAAGACAAGAAAGCCTCTTGTATTTTCTTTTGTAACGCGCATTATCATCGTTTATTTCGTAATCTAAAAATTGACCTAAAATTTAATATCCTCATCTAATCTAATCTAGGATCGATGATCGTGATGCAAATAAATATTTTTTATATACTTTTTTCTCTTAGTGTAACCACGACGACACGAGTTTTTTGCAATTACGTGAATGACACAGTCAATAGATCTTGATCTATTCAAGTACCTCGTGTTTGTCATCTTAAGATCTTGTCGCGCAAATAACAATTACAATAGCAGGCTCCTTTGACGTAACTACATCCGACATATATTCCCGTTGTCGCGCACGAATCGCCCCAGACGATTTCAAGACGATTGACACCTCGAACAATCGTCGTAGTCGGAATACCGTCGCGCTTAGTAACCGTATTCTGCAACGATATTACGGATTTCGTCGCGCAAGCTCGCTACCCGGTGCATCGATCGAATTTTATGCCTTGGGAAACGTGTCTCTGAAAAACGTGCCGACGAAACGTGCCCTCGAAGACCTTCCGCGACGTCTCCTCGCGCAATTGATCGGCGAAACCCACGTTCGCGCTGAGTTAAGCGCACTAACAAGTGAACCTACACAAAAGTTATACTTCGATTTCTTTTTAATTTGGCACAAATATAGAAGTACAAAGAATATTTAGGTCATATTTTTTTCATTTCGGTCCACTTTGAGTTTCACGGGCAGTTTATAGCTTTTTAATGTTCTCATGATATTCCTATCAAGTGCAACAAAAATGCATAAGAAATAAAATTGAGTACAAGATATAGACATTTTTGGTTTGCTGATTATGAATATCAAGTCAAGTGAGTAAAATTATTTGGTATAAATAATAAAATGTTTAAACAAAACATGTAAAAATTTGAAAAAAAATTATTTATACAAATAATTTCTCGGTTTGGCCGAAATTCGAACTATTTTTGGCTAATTTAGTCCAGATTTGAAATATTTCGGTGGAAATCTCGGCTAAAGAAATTTAGAATAGTTTGTGTCTCAGCTATGTCAATTTTATTTAAATTATTTGTATAAATAATAAAATGTTTAAAGAAAACATGTAAAAAGTTAAAAAAAATTATTTATACAAATAATTTCTCGGTTTGGCCGAAATTCGAACCATTTTTGACTAATTTAGCACAGATTTGAAATATTTTGATTGGAATTTCCGCTAAAAAAATTTAGAATGATTCGTGTTTTAGCTATGCCGATTTTCTTAAATTTATTTGTATAAATAATAAAATGTTTAAACAAAACATGTAAAAAGATGAAAAAAATTATTTATATAAATAATTTCTCAGGCCGAAATTCGGACTATTTTTTACTAATTTAGCCCAAATTTGAAATATTTTGGTTTGAAATATTTAGCCGGGAATCTCGGCTAAAAAAATTTAGAATGGTTCATGTCTCAACTATGCCGATTTTGATAAAATTATCGAACTATATCTTTTGTTCAATTTTATTTCTTATGCATTTTTGTTGTACTTGTTGATGATAGGAGTGAGAACATTAAAAAAACTATAAATTGCCCGTGAAACTCAAAGTGGGCCAAAATGAAAAAATATGATCTAAATACTTCTACATTTGTGCCAAATTAGAAAGAAATCGGAGTGTAGCTTTTGGGTAGGTTTACTTGTAAGTAAAAGGAGCGGCCTCTTCCTAAGCAGTAACTGGTTAGGAATTTTGGTCATTAGTAGTTTCTAGCCAGGAAATAATAAAAATTATTAAAATACGATCAATTTTTAGCCACTTAAAAGAAAAAAAGGAATCTAAAATTGAAGGTGGATTATATCGAATTGAAAAAGAATCGCTATTATATTCCAAGATTACAAATTAGCAATTTATAAAAATATATGAGGCTGGTTCAATTATACTCACAATTCAATAAAATGTTAAAGGTTTCGCTTTACTCTTTATTATTTCGAGATATTTATTCACGAAGAAATTTCCAATTATAATACAGCCCAGCCAACACCAAGTAACAATTACGAAACTGTTAATTATAATTTTCTACTGAATAATGTAAGTATATGTTATACGTTATATATCAGTTACATTATTAAATAGAAAATTATAACGGTTATGTAACTGTTACTTGGCAGCAACTGTTCGCTGGGAGCAAATCTAAAACATTGAAAGCATTTGCTGAACGCAGTCACAAGAAGTAATTGTAACAAATAATGCATTTGCAATTCTACAATTAATTCCTCATAAATTCTCAGATTGTTCGAAGACTTAGTCGCGAAGTACTTGTTACAATAAACTTTTCAGGAATACGTCAAGACGAGCTGATTATGGAATTCGCCAAGAATTCTCAGATATTCATGTTTCTAATTCTTTACGTTCTTTAAAATGAATTCTCTGTAAACTTCTATGCATCTCTGTGCTATCTGAGTAGTTAGTTTCTGGCCAGTTTCTAGCCAAAACTTTTTTATCTTTTTATTTTTTTTATCAGTTTGTAATAAAACTTTTTTGTATAAAATTCTATTAAATAGTTTTCATCGTTGAATTCTGCAGTGTAAAATGTTATATTTCATTATTCGATCTCCAAAAATAACATGAAACTCGTACTTCAAATGGCACAATTTTTTCGCGTGCAAATTCATTTATTATTGAGATGGTTGTAGATTTATTTTTAATTACCACTTTTTCAGAATCAAGTTTCGGGCCAAGAAATATTCGGCCAGTATTTTCCGAATTTTTACTATACACAAAAATTGTCCGGAATTTATTTACCATTTCTATTGCCTGGTATCTGACCAGTTTCTGGCTAGTGACCAGTTTTTCATGGAAATTTTTCTACTTGCGGCGTTTGTCGATCGATCCGCACGGGGAGGAGGAGGAGAAGGAGGGGAAAGGAGGGGGGGG